CAATTAAATGTTGTGTGAGATTGGCGCCTGTTATTATTAATTTATTTCTTTGTTTTTGTTTGTTTCTCCTCTTCATTTTTTCGTACGTATATATATATATATATATATATATATACGTTCGTACATTTCGTACGTAATATATTTAGAGCTAAAGGGGGAAAATTATTTACAAGGGAAAATAGGGAGCAGCGTGTCAAGATAATTGTTTTTTTTTTTTCTTCTATTTTTTTGTTTCTTTTTCTTTCTTCGCTTTCCATAGAAGATGCCATAGGAGGCCAGGCCAAAGAATAATTTCTTTTACTCAATGTAAATGTCCTCTATTGGAAAAGCAGTCTCGATGAATTTCGTATAGAAACGATGAAAGGCCCGTCTGTAAGTAAAAAAAAAAAAAAACAAAAAAAAAAAAACAGAAACACAAAAAAAAATTGTTTATAACAAATTAATCGTATTCGTCTGACCCAGTGTTTCCCAACGCGTGTAAGAATTGAAATATTTCAAAAAGGGGGGTAGGGTAGATTAATTGTTAACACCTAATTGTTAACATTGTAAATCGTTTAGGTTGTTGTTTGATGATTCACAATAATTTGGTTGAGAAACACGGTTGTTAGACACACTGTATAATAATATAGATATATATTAATTGTAAAGAAATATTATTATTATTGTTATTAACTTACCCTACAGCTTCAGCAACTGGTCGTGTAGATTCTTGACCAATGAACACGTGACAAGCAAACCTTTGCAACGTTGGATGTTTCGTGATGAAACCAAGGTAACGATGGTCGCGTGGATGAAACGCGCAAAAGGATACATTTTTTAACGAATAAAAGTAATCGTGACAGGGACCCTGATTTTTCTGTAAAAATGTTATCATTATAAATTACGATTATGTGTTTTTTTTTTTGTTATTTTTGTTTTTGTTTTCTACACGTTTTCTTTTCTAAATCATTTTTCTGCCCGTTTTTTTTTTTTTTTTGAAGTTATACTTCTTTTGGCGCGCGTTTTGGAAAGTGAAGTTAGATGCGACCGAAAAATTAACACCACGAAGTTGTCGAGATATTTACGATGCGCGCGCAAATTGAAATTATTTTTGAGGTTATATTCGTTTTGGTACGCTAAAGAAGTACAATTTCTTACGTGTGTACATAAGTACACACACCAGTTTGTTTTTTTTTGAAGTTATACTTCTTTTGGCGCGTTTTGGAAAGTGAAGTTAGATGCGACTGAAAAATCAACACCACGAAGTTGTCGATATTTACGATGCGCGGGAAAATTGAAATTATTTTTGAGGTTATGTTCGTTTTGGTACGCTAAAGAAGTATAACATTTTTTTTTTATATAAGTATGATTTGTTTACCCGCGGCTTACTTCTATCCACCATACGTAATCCTTGATCGGACACTTCGAGAATGCAACTTTGTGAAATTGGTGATTGATCTGATGAATTACCGATGATCCTACGAACAGCCTGACAAACGACACCTGTACCCTTGTGCGCCAAGGTTTCTACCGAGCCCAAGTATCCTAAAAGATATCTTTCTCTTTTGACCTTAGGTGCCGAAGGATCGAAATCACTGTAATCTATGTCGACTGCGTAAGCCGATGGAAAAATACCTTGTCTCCCTGTTCGTAAGTTGACACCTTTCCAAAATGTACAAATGAAAATTTAAACAGATATTTAGAATAATAAATAAATATTACAGAAAAAGTTGAACAAGGTAAAGAAAAAAAAAAAAGTCAGAACATTATGTTTCGATTTGATTAAACGTTTAGTCCCCTTTATTGGGACTTTTTCAGCAACTATAAAATATAATTACAATATAACCTTTATTTTTACCTTGTCCAACTTCCCTGTGATATTTATTTATTTATTATTTATTCTTTTAGGACACGATAAACACAACTAATTCATATTTATAATGTATCCACACACACACACACACACATATTAGTCGAGGAAAAATAATCTCACCTTCGCACCACAAATCGTCTGCTTCTTTTTGAACATAAACCGGATCACCGATTTCTAAATCAATTTCGTCGTGATGTCTTGGCACAAATTTGTGCAAACCACGATGAGTGGCTTCTAACAACTCCAATTGCGTGAACGGTACACCTCCACTTCCTTGAAATTAATTGGTTGAAAAAAATTCCCTTTTTTCAAATGAAACAACAATTGATCAACGTTTTGATTATAATGCAAATATTTTACCTGGTGTGCTACCAGGTGAAACCGAATCTGTGTTTTGTAATGTATTGCACGGTATCGGTGATACACTTTTGGGCCCGTTATCTGGCGAATGGGCAGTCGAATGTCCACTATCCGTAGCCATCCTTTCGCTGTCCGGCGAGCTGTCCTCGTGTCGCAAACGAGGATGACATTTTCGTAAAACGAGATGAGGCCTTCCGGAATTAGAATTTGTTGACCCAACGGTGGTAGAGCCTGTTGCAGCATTCAATTCGTCTGCTAACGATGACGAAGTTTGCATTGACACCTGGCCACCACCACCACCAACACCAACACCAACACCACCACCACCACCGGGTATACCTGATAAAATTGTATCATCTCTTAATCGTGTTTAAATTGTTATTTATATTGGATACGTTAATAATTACCGTACATGACTAAATTCATTTTCCAAGTTGTTATTAATTCAAACGAAATAATAATAATAATAATAATAATAATAATAGTAAAATCCCCCCTTGCCGACACGTTTTCTGTTTAGAAACCAACTGGTTTGATGTCGATCTAACACATCTACACATTCGTAGATTTTCTTTCACTGCGGTCAATAATTCTGTGGTCTCGGGAACTCCATAAAAATATATCGATCGTGAAACTCTTAACGAAGGTTAAGAAAGATAACGAAAGAAAATAATATAATATATGAATTTTTCAATCGAGAATTATATTCTTTACCGTTAGTTTTTCCTGTTGTTCCACGTATTATACACGTTGAAATATTATTAATCGTTGAATATATATTTTTAATATATTAACTAATGGCCCATAGCTCACATTTTTTAGCTTTAGGGATTTCCGGTAATCTTCGACGTCTACGTTCTCCGCTAGCACTACCTGGCCGATTCGTTGGAATGTGTTCCGGTGTTGGCCAGGAACTCAAACTCGAACAGGAATCACCAACATCGCTGACCACGCTATCTCTGCCACCATTTCCGGATGACGTTGTTCCACCTCCACCTGGACCAGGGCCGCCTGCTGATCGACCCCTGCTGCTCAGTCCACCGAACAAGCTAATGTCACCCAAGGGTAGTCGTATAGTCAGCTAAGCTACCATTCACCATGCGAATTCTGCCTGTTTATTTTCTTTTTTTTCTTTTTTACGACAACAGCCAATCTTTTTCTTATTATTTTTTCTCAATTGATCATAAACCCAATGGTAAGTTTAATCATATGTTGGATTATTGAAAATAGTGTTGAAATGTTTGTTGATGAATATCAATCGTTGTTTTGTAAAATTTAGATATTAAAATTTGGACAATCTTATTAAAATAAATCGTGCAATATTTTGTTTTAACGAAAACATTTTTAAATTAGATCTCATATACGTGCTCTGTGTGTGTGTGTGTGTGTGTGTGTGTGTTTATCTACGATTATAACTATTTTGAAACGTGTCGAGTGTTTGCATTCTCATTCAAGTTTGATAAATAATTCATAAATCCAATGAAACGTTAATGATACGAAATTTGACAAATTCATAAAATATGAAAGAAAGAAAGAATATAAATCGTCTAATAGAAATATATGGAAGAAATTTTCCAACACTTACGATGTTACCAACCTAAAGTCGCTGTCAGCTACGATTGAACAATGATTATCGAGATCCTCGCTCTCGTCGGCAGAAGTATGTCCACTTTGATTATCGTGAGTGTGTATAACAACGACATCCTCATCTTCGGAATCCCCGGCAACACCTTCGCAAGGTCTTCCAACCTCATCACCATCGCTTCCTTGGGATGACGTAGGCGAGTCATCGAGTATAACATCGTGCACGAGCCTGCATGATGACACGTGAAATATTTTTTTAATTCTTTGTATTCCATAATTGTTTAACATCAAACCATGAACAAATAACTGATCGTCAATTTTTTTTGGTGTTGAGGGGGGTAAGGGAAATTTCTTATTAGTTATTATTATGGTACACGTGAAATATTTTTGTAATACTTTGTATTCCATGATTGTTTAACATCAAATCATGATCAAATGACTTCGTCAATTTTTTGTTGGAGTTGGGGGGGAAATTTCTGACGAGTTATTATTATGCTACACGTGAGAAATATTTTTGTAATACTTTGTATTCCATGATTGTTTAACATCAAATCATGATCAAATGACTTCGTCAATTTTTTCTGGAGTTGGGAGGGAAATTTCTGACGAGTTATTATTATGCTACACGTGAGAAATATTTTTGTAATACTTTGTGTTTCAGAATTGTTTAACATCAAACCATGATCAAATGACTGATCGTCAAATTTTATTGGTGTTGGAGAGGGCAAGGGAAATTTCTTACGAGTTATTATTGTACTATCGGTAAGTCAAAAATTCACAATTGCATAAATGGGATATATTTGTTATCATGCATTTATGAAGATGAATCATTTGATCCTCGTTGTGAGATAGAAATAAGTTTATACAAAGTTCTTTTTAAAGGGGTAGAAATTTCTTACAAATTTTATTGTGCCATTATATTTGGGGTAAATAAAAAATTCACAATTGCATAAATGGGATATATTGTTTATCATGCATTTATGAAGATGGGTCATTTGATCCTGTTGCGAATAAAAAAATAAATATACGTTTAATATTAAATATTATTTTTCAAATCATATATTATATAAATTCTTATTGTTTATCCAACGCGACACATATTATCGAAAATCAAACGCGATTCTTTCGAAATAATAATTTTAAATAAAAAAACTAGTTAGATGTTTTAAACATCCTATCTACTTACGACCTAGTTTTTCACTGTCTACACTTATCTGCATCAAAAATGTTCGAATAAAATGACGCAAGTCTCTCTGATACTAAAAGATACGATCAAAAAATTGAAATAAATTTTTTTTTATATCCAATTGACTTAGGGGAGGAATGAGGGGGAAGAAAAGCAACCACCTATCCTTCTGTCAATTAATAAAATTACCTCAATACGTATTTGTTACAAATATTGCTTTTAATGTGGAACTTAAACGATATAAGTATAGAAATACTTTCATACACATATATATATATATATATATACGTGTATGTGTGTTACAAATACATGAAAAGCTAAAGAAACCAGCGTTCTTTGCACCCTGTAAGAAGCTTTCGTTCGATGAATATTTTCTACACATACGATTTATGTTCAAATTATATAATACATGTTTTAAAAATAATTCGATAGAATTTTATTATAGAAAAATTTTTCTTTTCTTTTTCCTTATATTAGTTAAAAAAGAGAAAATTGATTAAAAATAATAATATCAAAGTATATTCGTTTTATAATAAGAAACTAGAGCATAATGTTGCAATGACGTACACATATATAGATACAGTGGGGCTCATATTACATGAAGGATAGATAAGGAAGGGTGCATAGAAAAGTTTTCAGGTGTGCAAGGTTTACTGTACTTAGAAATATTATAATAGTAATAATCAATCAACGTTTTGACATCATTGCAAAAGTAATATCAAATGTTATATCGAATGAAATAGATATTTATCAAAAAGTTAATGCAGTATTATATGGGGGTAACATTTCTTACCAACACCACCCTTCCCCTCCCCTCCCCTTCCCCCCTAAGATCAATATCGCGGTAACGAAGAAAGGATTCAAAACGTTCTACAACTTATCAAGTAAAAAATTCATATATTCTCAAAGATATATAAAAAAATAAAGAAATCCTCGTGTGTTATAATAAAAAAATAATTAATATAATATTAGAAGGGTGGTGAATCAAAAGTTCGTGCGTTTTTTTCCAAAGTAAATTTGACAAAATAACAAATACGTTATGCAATTTGTAATACACAATAAATGTATTAAATTTGTATTAATCTTAATAATTGAATTCGATATCAAGAATATAACGATGAATAATTCTATCCAACTTGATTTAGAATATCAAATGGTATTTTAACAACGATATATTTCTTGATATATATATATAAAAAAAAGAAAGAAAGGGACCAATCTGCCAATCATTATGTCCTTTCTTCTTCGTATTAAAACAAATAAATAAATAAATAAATAATAATTTAATCAATAACCAAAAAGATATAAAGATGAATAATTCCAACTTGATTTATAATATCAAATACATACATACACATATATATATATATAAAAACGATATAATTAATACTCACGTGTAATTGGAAAGGGGTGCCTTTAAATGTTGGGGTAGTCTCTCAAAATAATGCCGAAATTCTTCGAACTCGGAGTCGGCCATTATACTTCCCCGTTGAAGAAGAAGAAGAAGAACCCGATGATGATGAGATTGATGATGATAATGAGGAGGAGGAGGAGGAGGAGGAGGAGGAGGAGGAGGACGACGACGATGACACACTCGAAACGAGGTGGTGGTTTTCCTTAGGAAAGCAATGACGAGTTACTGGTGATTGTCAGATGTCGCTGAAAATTACCACGGCGAATTTTAGTCGCCACCGTCGTCGTCGTCGTTTTCGTTTTTGTCTTCTTCTTTGTCTTCCTCCTCGTTGATCCTCCTCGTCGTCGTTGTCCTCGTCGTTGTCCTCGTCGTCGTCCTCGTCGTCGTTTTCCACCTTTTCCTAATTTTTCCTAACCCACGTCTCTTGTGCAATGCCAGTGACAGCAACAGTGTGGCACTGCTATCGTTTTCTCTCTCTCTCTCTCTCTCTCTCTTTTTATTTCTCTTACTATCTTTCTATCATCCTCCCCCTTCCATCATCCCCCTTTTCTAACTCTGCTAGCGACCTCAACCGAAAAGACACCCCCTATTGATTCCTGCGTGCCAACAACACGCGCATCAGGTTTCGATTTCTCTACCTCCCCCCCCTCTCCTTGGAATTCTCCCACCTACTACCACCCATTTCTTACCCCTTACCACCCCCCAGGTAGAACCCTAGTTTCTACTTTCCTCATCCTCATCCTCATCCTATTTTCATTGATGTTCGATGTTTTTACTGTTACTCGAATATGTATATAAATATTTCGTACTTTTTTTATGGGTACAAGTATTTTTTGGTTTTTTTTTTTTATCCTAAACGAAATAATTCCAACCCCATTCTCACCCTCGTTATCATCTGTTTAAATGTTGTTAGATTAATGTAAATGATAGTTTTATATTTATTATGATTAACACTTGATTTAGTGACTGAACCAATTTGACTGATTTTAAATTTTTGTTATATGTATGTATGTAAAATTTATATTTTATTTGTTAATAATAATTTTGCGTTATATCCGAAGACACAAGAAAAGGAAGTCACGAAATTTTGGTTTGTTTATCAATTTTTTATTTTTGAAAAACAATCATGCACAAGTTATTTTTCGAAATATTTTCTATGAAGTTGGGTGTATTTTTTTCAAAACAATTGTTGAATTCTTTGAATAATATAAAACTAGGGATATATTTGTTTATTCGATATATTTGTAAATTCGTATTATTCGTATTTTTTTTTGTACAATAAATGAAAATTGTGCACGTATGTTGCATTGCCAAATCTTAAAAAAAAACAAATTAAATTCTTTTTGCAATTTGTTGTAATCGATGAAAAATTGATTTTGAAGTATTCAATACTTCCTTGTTAGAATTTGATTGCAATTCGATGCAACAGGCGACGTAACAGGTATATATATATAAACAGAAAAAATATTGTCCTCGAAGGGGTGGCTTTTAAATCCCTTTTTAGAACTTTGAAGGACTCGTACTAAGGATCATTTGTTAAATTTCGATACAGTTCACGACAAAAGAAGAAGAAGAAGAAAAAGAACACGCAAGAATATTGTAATAAATTATATTAACACTATTTATTTTTATTATCTCTCTTCTTTTGTTTATTATTCTGTAATATTATTGTTCACTTATTATGTTAATATTCTATGTCATAACAGAAACTACAATTTTAGGAGTTTCAAGAAACACAGTTCGAAGAAACTAAAACAAATGATTGTAGGTTGCGACAGATAAAACTGTAAAACTGTAAAAGTATTAGTTTCCAATGATCATTTAACGAGAAAATCTTTTCATTATCAAACTGTATATTATGTTAAACTTGTAATATTAATTATTATATTGTTTTGTATAGATGGCCCTTTTTTATTTTTTTTTTTTTAAATATGAAATTAAACATATACGAAAGTTATAAATTAATTTAATAAATCATTTAAAAATAATATATATCCGGTTATAAATATATTTTCGAAATGTTAGGTAGAACTCTAAAGTTGACAATTTATAATTATCTAAACAAATAATGACAAATTATCTTTAAGAACAACAGGGTGATCGTAAAAACGTTAATGAGTTCTTTAGAAAGATATTAAATTTTCGAAATAATTTTCAATGACAATTCGTAATTTAAAATCATGAGAATGTTTTTACAACTTTTGAAATATATACCTATTGTAAAGCGCGGTGTTTTACTTTTTTCAATAAAATATCCTAAATTATTAACAAAAACGCGTATCTTTCATGATGCGAAAAAACAAAGTAGCATATAATTATGATACTGGAGTAATTATACAAAAAAAAAATATATATATATATATAACAAAATTAGAGTCAACTTAATTCCTAATGATTTATATTTTATAAATAATTTATTTTCTTTTTTTTTTTTCAAAATAATTTACTTTATAAATTTTTGTTAAATAAACTATATCGTAAGATAAATTTGTTTACACGCGCAGTCATAATTATCCAACATATATTATAAATAATAACTGATCGAAGACTGAACATATCATGACTATATAAAAAAACCGGTTTCGATTGTAAATTAAAAATCTACACTCAATGCTATTGATTTTCCTCATTTCACTCTATCGTAATTATAATAATACAAGGTGTTCTAAAATGAGTTGTTACAAGTCGAACAAAATAAATAATCAATATTGATGGATATTAATCATTATTGTAAATAATATGGAATTGCAAAGGAAAACTAAAACAATTTTGGTAAAAAAATAATGTTTACGACGCCATCATATATTTTTATCATTCTATTCAAATTGTATTATTTATTATTCATGCTAGTAAAACATTGACTATTATCTGTATTTATTTTATAAAAATATTTTTAAAAAGACCCGAAGTCGTGTTAATATAATTATATAATATATAATAAATAATTATAATATATATTCCCTTCCCCGCACACCCCCGCCATATAATGTAAATTCTTATAAACTTGTGAAAAATATTGCAACAATTGTTTTTACATATTCGCAATTGTTCTCTCTTGAAACGTACTATATCATTATCCGTATTTAAAAATAAAAATAAAAAATTGCTTTAATCAATTTTTTGTCTGCTAATTGTTTGGTTTTTATTGTTGTTATTGTCACCGCTTTACCAAGAAAACTATGCGGAAAAGAAGATTAGTTTTTTTTTTGGTCAATTTATATATCTAACAGATATTTTCTTTGCATGAATTAATTGTAAATTATGACCAGGGAAAATATATACGAACAAAAAAAATCATATATAAACGAGGAAAATTTGAATAGAATTTATATTCGTGTTACGTGTACGACGTTAATCGCGTTATAAAATAATTTACAGTATACGCGCGTACAAACGTTATGTTTAGTTTATTATTTCTTATTGTTTATTAAAAAAGTGTTAACAATAATAATAATAATAAAAAAAAAGTCCAATATTTGGTAAAAAAATTTTCACTTAAAATCCGCCATCTTGTATTACGCTGCAACACTAATTTGTAAGAATATTTGATTATATTATTATTAATCTATTAATGATATTATTCGATTCGTTTTAGAAATATTAAATGTTTTTTTTTTAAATTTATAAATTCATCACATAAAGGGGGGGTAGGGTGGAGAGGGTGAACAGATAGAACTTTTTGATAAATAAAATGAGAACAAAGATGTCTACGATGCGGGTAGTAAGTGATTGAAAGTCACTGATTTAAGGGAACAATGAAACCAACGCAAATGGGGTGAGGGGGGGAGGACTCGATTGTTATCACCATAGTAAAAGATATTGCATTATTTTATCGATTCTTTTCATTGTTTACATTTTTTATTATAAATATATATATATATATATATATATATGTAATATTACGAAAGATTGTAACAATATTATATGTGTGCACGCGTTTAATTCAAAAATTCAAAAAAATCATTCGTATAATTCTAATAAAATAAAACAATAAAGATAGACAAATTATCGATTGAAATATATTTTTATTTAATTTAATTATCATTCACAAGGATGTTGTCCGAGATAAGAAAAAACAAATATTTATCTGAAATTTTTTGGACTACCCTCTTAAATTACGTTTATTAAATTTTTGTATTGTAATTACAACAATTACACGAAATAAAATTTACTTTAAATGATTTAATATCATCTTTAACAAAATATTATCTAGAATTAAATAAATACGAGGGAATATTATTTTGATAATTTAATTTGAATAATGAAATAACAAAATGAATTGCATCAAGTTTCCTCCTTTTATTGATTCATTCTTTAACGTAGTAAATAAAATTTATTTACCATTGTAACTATATATATATATATATATATACCTGATATTGTAGTGAATTATACACGGTAGAAAAACGTTCGGTATAATTTGGAAAAGGATAAAACTCTCGAAGGTGGGTTACTGATAGCGGTAAGTAATGACCATCGGTAATGTGTTGTATCTAATTTGCTAAGAACCAAAGAAGAAGGAAACTCTTACACCTCGGGCATTCGGGTTTTCATTAAACGAGGGTGTCTTTGTTCGAAATAAAAAGAAAAATGGGGGAAAGAAAATCGTTCGCGAGAAAGAAACCAAAAAAAAAATCAAAGGACAAACCTTTTTCTTCTCTTCCTTCATTTTAACGCGAAATTAAATTTACGTTTTTTTATTTATATATATTTTCTTTCTCTCTTTTGGTTTTATTAAAAATAATGTAAATTCAAATAAAAAAAATCATTGACGAGGAATTATTTTTAAAATGAAGAAAAAAAATGTATTTCGATGAATCTAAACGAAACAGCGGTTAGGGTGGGGGGGGGGGATGGGGAGAAGGAAAAAATTGGAATAGTTGTAAAATTCTCACGATTCGTTCTAACCATCTACCCCTACCCCCCATTTTTTTTTCTTCGTATTTATTTATCATTCTCAAATCACCTCCACACACCCACATTTAGTCTCCAATGACGTAATAGAAAAGAAGAACCAACGATCGAAACGATAACATTCATGGCGGTTAAAGGGGGGCTCGCGGAGGGAACAAGTTAGCAAAGGGAGGGGGGAAGGGTTAAAAGAAAAGTCACGTTGCAACCCCCATGAAACATCTTATCCCGCCAATGAAAATGGTTCGAGCCACTGACAGCCATCCGTAAACGGACCAATCGCGAAAGGAGAACTAGTTCTTTGACTAGTACGAAAGACAGTGTGTGTGTGTGTGTGTGTGTGAGTTAAAGAGGGGGAAAGAGAACTTAAGATCAGAAAACAATGGTACCGTAACATTACAGCTTCCGATCTCTCAGGAATCGGTTATATACAGTTAACAGAATAATTTTTCTTCTTTCGCGAATAAAAGGTAATTTGTATTTTATATTTTTGTTTTGTTTTGTGTTCGTTCGTTCGTTCGTTCGTTCGTTGATTCGTTCGTTCGTTCGTTTTCGCGATCTTCGAA